AAACAAATTTTAAAGGTTTTGCTTACAAATTTATACTCGTACACAAATATATTTTATTTTGTAAATAACTGAGTGGCATTTTGTCCTAAGTCAAGTTACATAAACTTGAATCCGATACGTGTAAATAATCAATAAAAATTCAAATTTGGCTACTAAAATAAAAGAATTAATTGTTTATTTTACTTAGTTTAGTTTTCACTTTCATTCAAAATTAATCAATGCGGTCTTCTGGTGAAGACATAAACTTCTCATTCTGAAAGTTAATAATGGATTTCGATTTGAAGCAAATGAAGTGTATGCCTAGCATACTTGATTCTACATGTTATTTTATAATTATTGGTCATCCAATATTCGCAATAATCAAAAACTAATAATAAACATAATACGTCCTATATTAATGAATTACATTGTAGATGGCTTACCATTAGTGATCCGCTTTTGGTCACTTTAATTTCTTCTTCTCTCCATTCCTGCGCCGTATTTGTATATGGTATTTTCTTTTCAATTTCTTTATCACCATCAATGAATAATTCAAGAATGATATCTCCATATCCTTGGACGCTTAGTTTTTCAATATAAAATCCTACTACAACGTAAGAATATTCATCAGCTACATAGGATTCCGTTTCTCCACAGACATCTGCCCAGCTGCCCGAAGGTTTTGCAATATAATGGCTTGTTTTTTCATTTCGTGGTTCAAAATCGGTTTCGTCTTCGAAAGCCAGAACTGCCCAAGGAGGCATCCAATTCACTGAACCAGTACACTTTGTCAAATGCAATTGACCATCGTTGAAATTAATGTCTGCACATTGTATAGCTAAAGTGACTTTGATAAAAGCACTTACTAATAATATACTCATAAGTAAAATCTCCATAGTTTTTCCTGAGTAACATTAACGTAATGAACTTTTAACTGTTCTACGGCTAAATTAATACTAATTCTAGTAATTAATAAACAGGTGCCGTAGGATTTATTAATTTTTTATCAGTCAGATAAGCGTCGAGATCGTTCGCTAAATTAATCCAGCGATACGAATGGAGATTTTAATGAAGAGAGTGATATTGAAAAAATGCGTGACGGTTTCAGATAAAATGTGATCACATCATATTTATTTTTATTTGATATAAAAGCATATTAGGAGTAAACAAAAAATAAATAAATTAGTGGTGTGTGATAATATGCTTATACTTAGCTGTTTTAATGTTTTGATAATATCTTTTTTTCCTGGATATCATCTGCAGTCACCTCATTATGTGCTGTTGCATGTGATTCCATAAATATCAAGTAGAAAACAATTAAAAGAATTGTTCTGGAAATTCAACCAATAGTTACGGAAAGTTTGGTGTTTTCGACAAAATCGATTCATGAACTATAATGGAACATTTATGATATAAGTATAAGTATCAATAATATTCTCGAAATTATTAAGTATCAATAATATTCTCGAAAGAGTTTGAGATTTGAAGTTATTATTTACAATGTTTTACTGTTATTATTAACTTCCCGTAGGGCAAGTTATAGTAATCGAAAATGAAAATTTTTATATATCTTTACATTTCAAAGGTTTTGAATATTTTGGCATACCTTAGAAAAAATGTATGTGTGTGTTTCGTATTGATAGCGTGACGTGCTGATTAGTTTTTGGCGGAGGCAGGTCTAGCCGTTCCAAAGATACGGGGCAAAAAGTGTCGAAAATGGTAACTCAGTTTTCAAGAGAACGGAGCGTCCGATTTTAATAATTCAAAAAACATTTTACTTGTATTGACAAGATAAAGAATTGATCAAATTTTCATGAAGGCTGGTTTAGCGGTTTTGGAGATCTGATGCAAAAAGTAAAAAAAAAATGCCATTTGGCGGTCAAAAATGATCATTAGACATATGCACATCAAATTATCAGATATTTTATAGAGATTTTAACAATAAGTATAAATTTTGTTTACATTCCTATGGTTTCCGTACCAATGTTTACCTGTTAGACGGCGACGCGGCGCGTACGCGCTTTGACATTTTGTCTCTATGCAGTTAAAGCAATACGATTGCTTTGAAAAATTATTCAAAATTTCCAAAATATGTTAAAATAAAGAAAAAAAATTTTCAAAAAAAAATTTTTTTTTTTCAAAAAAAGTTATTTTTTGTTTCTCAAAAATTTAATTTTTTTGAAGTAATTTTTTTTCAAAAATGGTAATCGTTTTTAAAAAAATAATTATTTTTGGTACGGAGCAATTTGCCTTAAGGCACGATGCCTTGCGCCCCACTAGTTTTCTATAACAAATGGTAAAACATATGTGTGAACTATAATTGTATACATCATACATATTTGTGTACAATTTTCTTTCTTTTTTTGAAGAGAGGTTTTTAGATTCTATGGAATAGAAGAAAAGATTTTATATAGTATCAAAGAAAAAGTTAAACTACTCCGAATTATAAATATTTGACATCTACATACAAAACCAATAGTTTGTCTTATAGAGATTTAAACAGCAAACATCGTAACATTTATAAAAATTTACTTTAATTATACTTATTTAATCTGAACAAAACGCAGAGTTATAAACATTAAATATAAATACATTGAAAACAACTTTTACAATATACAATTGTACAATATACAATTGAATACAATTTTTATTTAAGTCGATTATTTACACATATCGGATAATTTATGGTACTCGCATTAAGATAAAATGCCACTTACAACTAGTTTGTATGGTGATTTTTATCAACTATAAATTATTTTAATTATTATAAAATAAATATAAATTATAATACCATGTAACATAAGTACTAAATAATATTCATGAATATAATATTATAACTGATTTATTACATTTTTGTAGTAAAATTAATAAATAATTAGGTGAACAAATGTTTTAAATATGTAATAGTAAAAGATAATACAAATACATAATGAAAATCATCTTAATAAAAAACTATACATTATTTTTAGTAAAGAACAGTATAACTAAAACATGAAGCACTAAAATACAATATTAGCAATAAGTAATACTAATTTCTTTAAACAATATATCAATTGAATATAATTTATTTAATTATCAATCGTATTTAAGGTGATAGAACACTTTTGTCGTAAAAAAACGAAAAAACTAATAGCAACGCACTGATCTACTTTCCATTATCTATCTTATGATATTTATTTTTATTCGATTTTAATCTAATTTTGATGAGATATCGTATATTACAGCAAGGCTTTCGAAATGATATTTTTACTTGTTTTCATATTTAAAGGTTATACACGAAAACGGTGTCCAAACAAACTTGGAACCAGTGTTTGCCGGGCCAAGTTTTTACCACGGAACCATAGCCAGCTCAAAACAATATCAATGCGTTCTTATCAATTTTCTATAATATCGTTGCTATTGTTTAACTTATAATTTACATATAACTTTTTTTTAATATTACTTTTTTTTACAAAGTTATTACGTGATATTTCTCAACTTCTATTTTTTTTCTAGGTTGGCAAGTAAGTGATTCGGGTTCTATAGTGCAAAATAAAATTTTGTTTTTTTATTTAAAAAAGCAAAGTTAAATATATTAAATTATATATTTTCCAATTTACTCAATGACCTTTGACCATCTTTTTTTCAGCTTCTCATAAAATTTCTAATTTTTATCAGCTAGATGTGAATGATGGATATTGCCATCTATCAAAGAATTCTGCATACTTCTAGATGAATTATAATCATCAGGACTGTATGAGAAAAAAAAATTTACTGGTCAAGCTTCAATAGTTTCCTATGCGTGAGGCTTTAGTAGAATTCTAAATCTCTCATAATTTACAACTATAGATGTTTTTCTCCTATTAATTTATCCAGCTTTATTAATTGTTCAAGTGAAGATCAGAATTGATCCTTTGGTTCCTGAGAAGCAGTTTAAGAAACACACAGCAAGTTTTAAACACACCAAACTGACAGCTGATTCTTGTTTTGTTTTTCTCCTATTAATTTATCCAGCTTTATTAATTGTTCAAGTGAAGATCAGAATTGATCCTTTGGTTCCTGAGAAGCAGTTTAAGAAACACACAGCAAGTTTTAAACTGACAGCTGATTCTTGTTGGATAAAATGCTCTCGGTGTGATATTTCTTGCTTTTTAATGGTTGCTCTATAATTTAAAAATAAGACCTTTATATCATTACAAAAACTGATTACTTTCAGAAGGGTTTTATTTATTTTTAGGGGCATATCGCAATAGTTCATTTGTTTTGTTAAATACATTTCTTTTAATTCTAGGTCCCGTATCGCACAAGTTGATTTTTTTTTGTTAAATTATTATTTTTTAATTCTGAGACCTGTATTTCAAGCTTTTTAAACATTTTAAATGAGCTTCACTTGTGGCGGGTTTCTGCAGCCTCTTCGATTTTCTCGAACAGTTATATGACGATTATCCTTAATTATGACTTTATCATGCTCATCATTTTTTTAATAGACCGAGAAACTCACAACCAATACGTTTAAAAGAAAGTATGCACTGCTTGCATAAAAAGTTACGTCAATATGACCAGTGTTAAGAAATAAATTCTAAAGTACAGCACAGCAGGAAAAATAAAGAAAACTCTATCATATATTTGAAACCGGAATTGCTTAGTAGCCAACCCAATATAACATTATGATGAACTTTTAGCCATTCATGTATTTAAATATATTAAATTATATAAAATAAATGTATACATTTCACATCAGTATGGATATATAATCACAATTAACTTTTTCGCCAGCACAAATAAGTAGATCTTACATTATGACAAAATGTTTTCGATATTAACAAAAAATATGCTTTTAACAAATCGCAATAATTGATGTTTTCGAAATTACTTGCTACTCTTACATGTTTCGCATTTTATACTTTTCTTATTATTTTATCCTGGTATTATATTTTTAAGCTTGATACATCAAATTGATTATATATATTATATTATACGGATTTATTTATGAAATTTAATTTTAATTATGTCCTTTACATTATGTAGCAGCGCTACATCACCTATGCTAACAGATTGGTTTGGTTTGCACTTGGCAAATGCTTATATCTTTTGAAAAGAACTATACAAGAAACTGTGACAAAAACTGCTACTGCCGCTGAAACTGCAGCAGTTATAGCAATCAGAGTGTTGTCCACAGAATCCTTCTTGTTGGACGTGGTTGGTGGTGTGTTAGTAGTGGTTAGACCTATACTGGAATCAGAAGTGGAATAAATAGAAGTTGAAGAACTGTTTATAGTTGTGCTGATACCCATTGTGGTTTGTATATTGCTGGAGGCCGAAGTTGAAGGAACTGCGGCAACTGTTGTGGTGGTATTATTGGTGGAGGGTGTTTCTGACGTTGTGGACGGTGAATTTGTAGCCGAAGTTGTTGCATTCGAGGCTGTCGTTGATACATCTGTGGTGACCGATGGTTTACTTGTAGTAGTGGTTTGTGCACTTATAGTGGAAGACGGGTCATTTGTAGTTGAGGGTAATTTAGTTGTAGTGAAGGGATTGTTACTTGTAGTGGAAGACGGGTCATTTGTAGTCGAGGGTAATTTAGTTGTAGTGAAGGGTTGTTCACTTGTAGTAGTGGGTGGCTCACTTGTAGTGGAAGACGGGTCATTTGTAGTCGAGGGTAATTTAGTTGTGGTAGTGGGTTGCTCACTGGTAGTGGAAGACGGGTCATTTGTAGTTGAGGGTAATTTAGTTATAGTGAAGGGTTGTTCACTTGTAGTAATGGGTGGCTCAATTGTAGTGGAAGACGGGTCATTTGTAGTCGAGGGTAATTTAGTTGTGGTAGTGGGTTGTTCACTTGTAGTGGAAGACGGGTCATTTGTAGTTGAGGGTAATTTAGTTGTAGTGAAGGGATTGTTACTTGTAGTGGAAGACGGGTCATTCGTAGTCGAGGGTAATTTAGTTGTAGTGAAGGGTTGTTTACTTGTAGTAGTGGGCGGCTCACTTGTAGTGGAAGACGGGTCATTTGTAGTCGAGGGTAATTTAGTTGTAGTGAAGGGTTGTTCACTTGTAGTAGTGGGTGGCTCACTTGTAGTGGAAGACGGGTCATTTGTAGTCGAAGGAAATTTAGTTGTAGTGAAGGGTTGTTCACTTGTAGTGGAAGACGGGTCATTCGTAGCCGAGGGTAATTTAGTTGTAGTGAAGGGTTGTTCACTTGTAGTAGTGGGTGGCTCACTTGTAGTGGAAGACGGGTCATTTGTAGTCGAGGGTAATTTAGTTGTGGTAGTGGGTTGTTCACTTGTAGTGGAAGACGGGTCATTTGTAGTCGAAGGTAATTTAGTTGTAGTGAAGGGTTGTTCACTTGTAGTGGCAGACGGGTCATTCGTAGTCGAGGGTAATTTAGTTGTAGTAGGAGGTTGTACACTTGTAGTGGAAGACGGGTCATTTGTAGTCGAAGGTAATTTAGTTGTAGTGAAGGGTTGTTCAGATGTAGTCGTGGGTGGTTCACTTGTAGTGGAAGACGGGTTATTTGTAGTCGAGGGTAATTTAGTTGTAGTGAAGGGTTGTTCACTTGTAGTCGTGGGTGGCTCACTTGTAGTGGAAGACGGGTTATTTGTAGTCGAGGGTAATTTAGTTGTAGTGAAGGGTTGCTCACTTGTAGTAGTGGGTGGCTCACTTGTCGTGGAAGACGGGCCATTTGTAGTCGAGGGTAATTTAGTTGTGGTAGGTGGTTGTACACTTGTAGTGGAAGACGGGTCATTTGTAGTCGAAGGTAATTTAGTTGTAGTGAAGGGTTGTTCAGTTGTAGTGGAAGACGGGTCATTCGTATTCGAGGGTAATTTAGTTGTAGTGGAGGGTTGTTTACTTGTAGTAGTGGGTGTCTCACTTGTAGTGGACGACGGGTCATTTGTAGTCGAGGGTAATTTAGTTGTGGTAGGGGGTTGTACACTTGTAGTGGAAGACGGGTCATTTGTAGTCGAAGGTAATTTAGTGGTAGTGAAGGGTTGTTCAGATGTAGTCGTGGGTGGCTCACTTGTAGTGGAAGACGGGTTATTTGTAGTCGATGGTAATTTAGTTGTAGTGAACGGTTGTTCACTTGCAGTCGTGGGTGGCTCACTTGTAGAGGAAGACGGGTTATTTGTAGTCGAGGGTAATTTAGTTGTAGTGAAGTGTTGTTCACTTGTAGTAGTGGGTAGCTCACTTGTAGTGGAAGACGGGTCATTTGTAGTCGAGGGTAATTCAGTTGTAGTGAAGGGTTGTTCACTTGTAGTAGTGGATGGCTCACTTGTAGTGGAAGACGTGTCATTTGTAGTCGAGGGTAATTTAGTTGTGGTAGGAGGTTGTACACTTGTAGTGGAAGACGGGTCATTTGTAGTCGAAGGTAATTTAGTTGTAGTGAAGGGTTGTTCACTTGTAGTGGAAGACGGGTCATTTGTAGTCGAGGGTAATTTAGTTGTAGTTAAGGGTTGTTCACTAGTAGTAGTGGGTGGCTCACTTGTAGTGGAAGACGGGTCATTTGTAGTCGAGGGTAATTTAGTTGTAGTGAAGGGTTGTTCACTTGTAGTAGTGGATGGCTCACTTGTAGTGGAAGACGGGTCATTTGTAGTCGAGGGTAATTTAGTTGTGGTAGTGGGTTGCTCACTGGTAGTGGAAGACGGGTCATTTGTAGTTGAGGGTAATTTAGTTGTAGTGAAGGGTTGTTTACTTATAGTAATGGGTGGCTCAATTGTAGTGGAAGACGGGTCATTTGTAGTCGAGGGTAATTTAGTTGTGGTAGTGGGTTGTTCACTTGTAGTGGAAGACGGGTCATTTGTAGTTGAGGGTAATTTAGTTGTAGTGAAAGGATTGTTACTTGTAGTGGAAGACGGGTCATTCGTAGTCGAGGGTAATTTAGTTGTAGTGAAGGGTTGTTCACTTGTAGTAGTGGACGGCTCACTTGTAGTGGAAGACGGGTCATTTGTAGTCGAGGGTAATTTAGTTGTAGTGAAGGGTTGTTCACTTGTAGTAGAAGACGGGTCATTTGTAGTCGAGGGTAATTTAGTTGTAGTGAAGGGTTGTTCACTTGTAGTAGTGGGTGGCTCACTTGTAGTGGAAGACGGGTCATTTGTAGTCGAGGGTAATTTAGTTGTGGTAGGTGGTTGTACACTTGTAGTGGAAGACGGGTCATTTGTAGTCGAAGGTAATTTAGTTGTAGTGAAGGGTTGTTCAGTTGTAGTGGAAGACGGGTCATTCGTAGTCGAGGGTAATTTAGTTGTAGTGAAGGGTTGTTCACTTGTAGTAGTGGGTGGCTCACTTGTAGTGGAAGACGGGTAATTTGTAGTCGAGGGTAATTTAGTTGTGGTAGTGGGTTGTACACTTGTAGTGGAAGAGGGATCATTTGTAGTCGAAGGTAATTTAGTTGTAGTGAAGGGTTGTTCAGTTGTAGTGGAAGACGGGTCATTCGTATTCGAGGGTAATTTAGTTGTAGTGAAAGGTTGTTTACTTGTAGTAGTGGGTGTCTCACTTGTAGTGGACGACGGGTCATTTGTAGTCGAGGGTAATTTAGTTGTGGTAGGGGGTTGTACACTTGTAGTGGAAGACGGGTCATTTGTAGTCGAAGGTAATTTAGTTGTAGTGAAGGGTTGTTCAGATGTAGTCGTGGGTGGCTCACTTGTAGTGGAAGACGGGTTATTTGTAGTCGATGGTAATTTAGTTGTAGTGAACGGTTGTTCACTTGCAGTCGTGGGTGGCTCACTTGTAGAGGAAGACGGGTTATTTGTAGTCGAGGGTAATTTAGTTGTAGTGAAGTGTTGTTCACTTGTAGTAGTGGGTAGCTCACTTGTAGTGGAAGACGGGTCATTTGTAGTCGAGGGTAATTCAGTTGTAGTGAAGGGTTGTTCACTTGTAGTAGTGGGTGGCTCACTTGTAGTGGAAGACGTGTCATTTGTAGTCGAGGGTAATTTAGTTGTGGTAGGAGGTTGTACACTTGTAGTGGAAGACGGGTCATTTGTAGTCGAAGGTAATTTAGTTGTAGTGAAGGGTTGTTCACTTGTAGTGGAAGACGGGTCATTTGTAGTCGAGGGTAATTTAGTTGTAGTGAAGGGTTGTTCACTTGTAGTAGTGGGTGGCTCACTTGTAGTGGAAGACGGGTCATTTGTAGTCGAGGGTAATTTAGTTGTAGTGAAGGGTTGTTCACTTGTAGTAGTGGATGGCTCACTTGTAGTGGAAGACGGGTCATTTGTAGTCGAGGGTAATTTAGTTGTGGTAGTGGGTTGCTCACTGGTAGTGGAAGACGGGTCATTTGTAGTTGAGGGTAATTTAGTTGTAGTGAAGGGTTGTTTACTTGTAGTAATGGGTGGCTCAATTGTAGTGGAAGACGGGTCATTTGTAGTCGAGGGTAATTTAGTTGTGGTAGTGGGTTGTTCACTTGTAGTGGAAGACGGGTCATTTGTAGTTGAGGGTGATTTAGTTGTAGTGAAAGGATTGTTACTTGTAGTGGAAGACGGGTCATTCGTAGTCGAGGGTAATTTAGTTGTAGTGAAGGGTTGTTCACTTGTAGTAGTGGGCGGCTCACTTGTAGTGGAAGACGGGTCATTTGTAGTCGAGGGTAATTTAGTTGTAGTGAAGGGTTGTTCACTTGTAGTAGTGGGCGGCTCACTTGTAGTGGAAGACGGGTTATTTGTAGTCGAGGGTAATTTAGTTGTAGTGAAGGGTTGTTCACTTGTAGTAGTGGGTGGCTCACTTGTAGTGGAAGACGGGTCATTTGTAGTCGAGGGTAATTTAGTTGTGGTAGGTGATTGTACACTTGTAGTGGAAGACGGGTCATTTGTAGTCGAAGGTAATTTAGTTGTAGTGAAGGGTTGTTCAGTTGTAGTGGAAGACGGGTCATTCGTAGTCGAGGGTAATTTAGTTGTAGTGAAGGGTTGTTCACTTGTAGTAGTGGGTGGCTCACTTGTAGTGGAAGACGGGTAATTTGTAGTCGAGGGTAATTTAGTTGTGGTAGGGGGTTGTACACTTGTAGTGGAAGAGGGATCATTTGTAGTCGAAGGTAATTTAGTTGTAGTGAAGGGTTGTTCAGTTGTAGTGGAAGACGGGTCATTTGTAGTCAAGGGTAATTTAGTTGTAGTGAAGGGTTGTTCACTTGTAGTGGAAGACGGATCATTTGTAGTCGAGGGTAATTTAGTTGTAGTAAAGGGTTGTTCACTTGTAGTAGTGGGTGGCTCACTTGTAGTGGAAGAAGGATCATTTGTAGTTGAGGGTAATTTAGTTGTAGTGAAGGGTTGTTCACTTGTAGTGGAGGACGGGTCATTAGTAGTCGAGGGTACTTTAGTTGTAGTGAAGGGTTGTTCACTTGTAGTGAAAGACGGGTAATTTGTAGTCGATGGTAATTTAGTTGTAGTGAATGGTTGTTCACTTGCAGTCGTGGGTGGCTCACTTGTAGTGGAAGACGGGTTATTTGTAGTCGAGGGTAATTTAGTTGTAGTGAAGTGTTGTTCACTTGTAGTAGTGGGTGGCTCACTTGTAGTGGAAGACGGGTTATTTGTAGTCGAGGGTAATTTAGTTGTAGTGAAGGGTTGTTCACTTGTAGTGGAGGACGGGTCATTAGTAGTCGAGGGTACTTTAGTTGTAGTGAAGGGTTGTTCACTTGTAGTGGAAGACGGGTAATTTGTAGTCGATGGTAATTTAGTTGTAGTGAATGGTTGTTCACTTGCAGTCGTGGGTGGCTCACTTGTAGTGGAAGACGGGTTATTTGTAGTCGAGGGTAATTTAGTTGTAGTGAAGTGTTGTTCACTTGTAGTAGTGGGTGGCTCACTTGTAGTGGAAGACGGGTCATTTGTAGTCGAGGGTAATTTAGTTGTGGTAGGAGGATGTACACTTGTAGTGGAAGACGGGTCATTAGTAGTCGAAGGTAATTTAGTTGTAGTAAAGGGTTGTTCAGTTGTAGTGGAAGACGGGTCATTCGTAGTCGAGGATAATTTAGTTGTAGTGAAGGGTTGTTCACTTGTAGTAGTGGGCGGCTCACTTGTAGTGGAAGACGGGTCATTTGTAGTCGAGGGTAATTTAGTTGTAGTGAAGGGTTGTTCATTTGTAGTATTGGGTGGCTCACTTGTAGTGGAAGACGGGTCATTTGTAGTCGAGGGTAATTTAGTTGTGGTAGGTGGTTGTACACTTGTAGTGGAAGACGGGTCATTTGTAGTCGAAGGTAATTTAGTTGTAGTGAAGGGTTGTTCACTTGTAGTGGAAGACGGGTCATTTGTAGTCGAGGGTAATTTAGTTGTAGTGAAGGGTTGTTCACTTGTAGTGGAAGACGGATCATTTGTAGTCGAGGGTAATTTAGTTGTAGTGAAGGGTTGTTCACTTGTGGTAGGTGGTTGTACACTTGTAGTGGAAGACGGGTCATTTGTAGTCGAAGGTAATTTAGTTGTAGTGAAGGGTTGTTCAGTTGTAGTGGAAGACGGGTCATTCGTAGTCGAGGGTAATTTAGTTGTAGTGAAGGGTTGTTCACTTGTAGTAGTGGGTGGCTCACTTGTAGTGGAAGACGGGTAATTTGTAGTCGAGGGTAATTTAGTTGTGGTAGGGGGTTGTACACTTGTAGTGGAAGAGGGATCATTTGTAGTCGAAGGTAATTTAGTTGTAGTGAAGGGTTGTTCACTTGTAGTAGTGGGTGGCTCACTTGTAGTGGAAGACGGGTTATTTGTAGTCGAGGGTAATTTAGTTGTAGTGAAGGGTTGTTCACTTGTAGTGGAGGACGGGTCATTAGTAGTCGAGGGTACTTTAGTTGTAGTGAAGGGTTGTTCACTTGTAGTGGAAGACGGGTAATTTGTAGTCGATGGTAATTTAGTTGTAGTGAATGGTTGTTCACTTGCAGTCGTGGGTGGCTCACTTGTAGAGGAAGACGGGTTATTTGTAGTCGAGGGTAATTTAGTTGTAGTGAAGTGTTGTTCACTTGTAGTAGTGGGTGGCTCACTTGTAGTGGAAGACGGGTCATTTGTAGTCGAGGGTAATTCAGTTGTAGTGAAGGATTGTTCACTTGTAGTAGTGGGTGGCTCACTTGTAGTGGAAGACGTGTCATTTGTAGTCGAGGGTAATTTAGTTGTGGTAGGAGGTTGTACACTTGTAGTGGAAGACGGGTCATTTGTAGTCGAAGGTAATTTAGTTGTAGTGAAGGGTTGTTCACTTGTAGTGGAAGACGGGTCATTTGTAGTCGAGGGTAATTTAGTTGTAGTGAAGGGTTGTTCACTTGTAGTAGTGGGTGGCTCACTTGTAGTGGAAGACGGGTCATTTGTAGTCGAGGGTAATTTAGTTGTAGTGAAGGGTTGTTCACTTGTAGTAGTGGATGGCTCACTTGTAGTGGAAGACGGGTCATTTGTAGTCGAGGGTGATTTAGTTGTGGTAGTGGGTTGCTCACTGGTAGTGGAAGACGGGTCATTTGTAGTTGAGGGTAATTTAGTTGTAGTGAAGGGTTGTTTACTTGTAGTAATGGGTGGCTCAATTGTAGTGGAAGACGGGTCATTTGTAGTCGAGGGTAATTTAGTTGTGGTAGTGGGTTGTTCACTTGTAGTGGAAGACGGGTCATTTGTAGTTGAGGGTAATTTAGTTGTAGTGAAAGGATTGTTACTTGTAGTGGAAGACGGGTCATTTGTAGTCGAGGGTAATTTAGTTGTAGTGAAGGGTTGTTCACTTGTAGTAGTGGGCGGCTCACTTGTAGTGGAAGACGGGTCATTTGTAGTCGAGGGTAATTTAGTTGTAGTGAAGGGTTGTTCACTTGTAGTAGTGGGCGGCTCACTTGTAGTGGAAGACGGGTCATTTGTAGTCGAGGGTAATTTAGTTGTAGTGAAGGGTTGTTCACTTGTAGTAGTGGGTGGCCCACTTGTAGTGGAATACGGGTCATTTGTAGTCGAGGGTAATTTAGTTGTGGTAGTGGGTTGTTCACTTGTAGTGGAAGACGGGTCATTTGTAGTCGAAGGTAATTTAGTTGTAGTGAAGGGTTGTTTAGTTGTAGTGGAAGACGGGTCATTCGTAGTCGAGGATAATTTAGTTGTAGTGAAGGGTTGTTCACTTGTAGTAGTGGGCGGCTCACTTGTAGTGGAAGACGGGTCATTTGTAGTCGAGGGTAATTTAGTTGTAGTGAAGGGTTGTTCACTTGTAGTATTGGGTGGCTCACTTGTAGTGGAAGACGGGTCATTTGTAGTCGAGGGTAATTTAGTTGTGGTGGGTGGTTGTTCACTTGTAGTGGAAGACGGATCATTTGTAGTCGAGGGTAATTTAGTTGTAGTGAAGGTTTGTTCACTTGTAGTAGTGGGTGGCTCACTTGTAGTGGAAGACGGGTCATTTGTAGTCGAGGGTAATTTAGTTGTGGTAGTGGGTTGCTCACTGGTAGTGGAAGACGGGTCATTTGTAGTTGAGGGTAATTTAGTTGTAGTGAAGGGTTGTTCACTTGTAGTAATGGGTGGCTCACTTGTAGCGGAAGAAGGATCATTTGTAGTTGAGGGTAATTTAGTTGTAGTGAAGGGTTGTTCAGTTGTAGTGGAAGACGGGTCATTTGTAGTCAAGGGTAATTTAGTTGTAGTGAAAGGTTGTTCACTTGTAGTGGAAGACGGATCATTTGTAGTCGAGGGTAATTTAGTTGTAGTGAAGGGTTGTTCACTTGTAGTATTGGGTAGCTCACTTGTAGTGGAAGACGGGTCATTTGTAGTCGAAGGTAATTTAGTTGTAGTGAAGGGTTGTTCACTTATAGTAGAAGACGGGTCATTCGTAGTCAAGGGTAATTCAGTTGTAGTAAAGGGTTGTTTACTTGTAGTAGTGGGTGGCTCACTTGTAGTGGAAGCCTGGTCATTTGTAGTCGAGGGTAATTTAGTTGTGGTAGGAGGTTGTACACTTGTAGTGGAAGACGCGTCATTTGTAGTCGAAGGTAATTTAGTTGTAGTGAATGCTTGTTCAGTTGTAGCGGAAGACGGGTCATTCGTAGTCGAGGGAAATTTAGTAGTAGTGAAGGGTTGTTCACTTATAGTGGAATTCGGGTCATTTGTAGTCGAAGTTAATTTAGTTGTAGTGAAGGGTCGTTCACTTGTAGTAGTGGATGGCTCATTTGTAGTAGTGGGTGGCTCACTTGTAGTGGAGGACGGGTCATTCGTAGTCGAGGGTAATTTAGTTGTAGTGAAGGGTTGTTCACTTGTAGTGAAGGACGGGTCATTTGTAGTCAAGGGTAATTCAGTTGTAGTGAAGGGTTGTTCACTTGTAGTGGAAGACGGGTCATTTGTGATCGAAGGTAATTTAGTTGTAGTGAAGGGTTGTTCACTTGTAGTAGTGGGTGGTTCACTTGTAGTGGTAGACGGGTCATTTGTAGTTGAGGGTAGTTTAATTGTGGTAGTGGGTGGCTCACTTGTAGTGGAAGACGGATCATTTGTAGTCGAGGGTAATTTAGTTGTAGTGAAGGGTTGTTCACTTGTAGTGGAAGACGGGTCATTTGTAGTCGAGGGTAATTTAGTTGTAGTGAAGGGTTGTTCACTTGTAGTAGTGGTTGGCTCACTTGTAGTGGAAGACGGGTCTTTTGTAGTCGAGGGTAATTTAGTTGTAGTGAAGGTTTGTTCACTTGTAGTGGAAGACGGGTCATTCGTAGTCGAAGGTAATTCAGTTGTAGTGGAGGGTTGTTTACTTGTAGTAGTGGGTGGCTCACTTGTATTGAAAGACGGGTCATTTGTAATCAAGGGTAATTTAGTTGTGGTAGGGGGTTGGTCACTTGTAGTGGAAGACGGGTCATTTGTAGTCGAAGGTAATTTAGTTGTAGTGAAGGGCTTTGCACTTCTAGTAGAGGACGGGTCATTCGTAGTCGAGGGTAAATTAGTTGTAGTGAAGGGTTGTTCACTTGTAGTCGAGGGCGATTTACTAATAGTAAAGTTTTGCTCGTTTGTAGTCGAGAGTGGTTCACTTGTAGTCAAGGATTGTTTACTTGTAATCGGTGTTGTGTCAGTTGTAGCTCTTGGTTCCGTAGTTGTGATTGGTGCACGAATAGTCGTAGTTGGCATATTTGTAGTTGTGTCTAATTGCAACATACATTCATCAATATCGCTTTTTGTATTATATATCCTAACGTAGTCAATGCCTGCCTTTATATTATCATTTGTTTCTAGAGTTAAGCGTACCTGTAAAAGAAAAAAAAATCATATTTATTATTTATCTAGAGTGAAACATTGTTAACTTCCCAAAGAAAAAGTTTATGTTTTCATAAAAAATCCGATTCAGTAATTTTATGAATTCTCAAGTTTCAAGCCATTCTGAATTTTTTTAAAAGACATATCTTCTAACTATGTCTTTCTTATCTGAACAAATTTTAGTGCTTTTATTGAATGGATCAGTATCATTGAAAACTTCTATTGTAGCAAAACACTGAAATTTGAAACATATTAATTCATCGGAAGAAAAGCATTTTAATTTGTTTAATAACAATAGCCAATTTTCAATAAAATATGTATATTTACTTTACACAAGCTTTCAGAATCTTGAATATGAATTCGCAAAGCTTATCAAAATAGCGTATTACCTTCCTCTGAAAATTGTTAAAAAATTCATGTTTCATAAATCATTTTTCTGCTACACTCTTTGCTTCTAATTTTAAATTTCCAAAGTCATGCCAATACTTTTCAAATTTTTAACAAATTTGTAAATGTTTATACTTTATACCATTGTAAGATCGGTGATTTTAGATTATCGAACTTTAGATGCTGCGATAGTAGTAGAATATTACAATGGAAACCAATGATAACATAGTTGTAGTTTGCAAACTTCTTTTTATGTAAAATAGTTTCATTTTGAATTTCAACAAAACGAATTTTTAAAGCAACAATGGCTTCGAGATGTCCTGCACATCTAGTAGGCATAAATATTTTTAATGTTATTGAAATTGATGACACACTCTCGTTAATAGATTTGAATCTTAATGAACTATTCCATATTTTTATATTAAATCCAAAAAAATTGAAAATTCATAAACTATTTAAAGAAACCGCGAAAAAAGATGGAGAAACCTTGCAATAAATAGTATAATCAGCAAAATACCGATTATAGCAAATAAAATTAAGAAGGAAACTTGGAAGACTATTATGACTATGAATGTCTACATGTGACAAGTCACGGAAATATAATCTGCTTCTGAAAGTAAAATTTAATTTTCAAAACGAAAAATAGTGTTTGAATTTTCTGCGATAAAATGCCTGAGATAGCACGTTATTCAGTAGATGCTTAGATTGAATACAATGAATGACTTCATTGTATCTAAATACATCACAATAATGTATTCTTTGAATATTGAGAAAAGAGTTCTTCACATATTCGGTTATAAGTTTAAATTATTTTATATACAATAATGAATTCATTCATTCATTTTTCATGCAAGCCTGGTTGAAACGCTTAATGACTAACTCCGACTTTAAACTTAAAGGAGAATTTAAAAAATATAAAATATTGGTTTAAAGTGAAATAAAATATATGTGCAATTTAAAATATATTTCTGAGCCCGCGGCCCGCGGCTTCCTCGGCCGGAACCCGCTTGGTTCGGGGGCCCGTTGCATTTTGACACCTATGCCACCCTACAGTTACGCCACTGTATATATATATATATATATATATATATATAAATATATATATATCTTGATAGTTTTTTCGACGTTGAAACATATTTCAAAGTAACTAGCAGCCCATTCGTCGAAATAAAAAGGTAATAAAGTATAAAAACTTTTATTTATACGTTTTGACACAAGATGCGTGTCATCATTCAGCAACACAGGACAAAAAACACTCAACAAAAATTTATTTTAAAAAATTAAACTTAATAACAATTAGAAAAAAACATTTTTTAGAAAAAATTATGTATAACTAAACGATTTGAAAACTAATTTTACTAAAAGTTATGAAATACATTATTGTGAAGCTAGAAGCACGCCCATACCGAGCATCTTGTGTCGAAACGTATAAATAAAAGTTTTTATACTTTATTACCTTTTTTATTTCGACGAATGGGCTGCTAGTTACTTTGAAATATATATATATATATATATATATATATATATATATATATACAGGGCCGGTCCTGGGGCCCTTAGCGCCCGCATGCAACTTTTATTCTAGCGCCCCCCGCCCATTAATTTGTCCTGTTTTAACAGTTTATCATTTAAATTATATAAATATTTACATATTTTTTAAAAATTAATTTTTAATCATTCTGGATTTAGTGCGGAAAAATTAGATATAATCTCAAAGCGTATAAAATACATTGATTTTAAATTTATTTAGAAAATCGAGGCGATTCGCGGGTTAATTGTAATCAAATGTTTTTAAATTTTCAATTATTTTCAACGTATGTACAATATTAATATTTGTTTTAAAACATTTCACTTGTTTATTGTGCGATTTATTCTATTGAGCAAATCATGCTAAGAGAGCTAAAAAAAACTAGAACTCATAACACTCGTATTTCATGTTGGATTTTTTAAAATTTAATTTAATTTAATTTTTCGTCATTTACAATATCCAAAATTGCGTCGTAAACTTTTCCTTATTGATATCGTAAAAGCCGAATTGTATTTATAATTGCTTTCTCGTCATATTCAGAGAATCAGTTTGTTGTTTTAAAGTTAAATTTTTAACGTATTTTAAAAGTATTGTTCAAAAATCAGTAGAAAATGCAAAGAAAGTACACATTTCTTGAACTATATTGAAAAAATAACTAATTATATTTGGTATGTATTATTTTTGCATAGTTAACACTATTCCTACCTGGACCGGTCAAATGACCGTTTTAAATTTCCGATTAGTTTTTTTCATATCAAACGTGATGGAATCGATGATCGAACTTACAAAAAAAAGTAAATTCAGAGGAATTTAGAGTAGTGAAAACTGCCTTCTGCAAATTTATATGCATTTTTTTCGATTCTATATGCACGCTGCGCAAATGAGGCAAGGAGTATAAATATTGCACGCTGCGCAAATGAGGCAAGGAGTATAAATATTGCACTTCTACGGTATAAAAAGTGGGTTTTCTCATTCTTGCTCAATGGCTATGTGTTGACAGATTTTTACGAAGGAATCCAAACAACAAATTGATAGGTTTTGTTTTGAATCCAAAGGTTTGCTCAACTACATTGACAGCAATCAAAATTGTTGTAAAAGACCACGTATTACTATCGTCAAACATATATTTTCAATAAAGGTAAGGTGTAAATTTATTCAACACATGTTCAATAATATTCAGGAAAGCGTATAAATTTTAGTAACCGTTCAAGATACAATGTAAATATAATTATACCCAGCAAAACGCACAAATGGGGTGTAAAATTTTGGTAACCATCCAGTATACGTAACAAACTGAGAATTTCTTTGAAGATTTATAACCAATGAAACCGTAATATCAAAATTGCTAGTACGATGTAAAAAATATATAACGTTTTTACCATCCTACACATAGATAAACTTTTAGTAAAAAAAAACTGTGATGGTAGGTGCAATTGAAGCAATATAACAGCTATAAATACTCGCAGAATTAAAAATCAAGGACTTCATCACTCAAATAATATTTACAATTTTGGAAACTAAGAAAGAAGGTTCTAATTTTCACTTACATACACATATGCTGAAAAAATTACACCAATATGTCAGAAATAATTCGGTAAAATATGAATTTTAGAGAGAATTTATTAAGGATTTACATTATTTTGTATTTATTCAGGATAAATCTATTGTTGTCACATAAAGAAATTACGGGAACACGATGTACAAGGCAGGAACTTTCTATTCCTAATAACTTGCCGTATAGTTGCAACAAGAATTCAGAAAAAAATCAACTAAGTACAAGTACAAAACAGATTCCCTAAAAGAAAATATTCCAGATATATCTTTAGAAAAATGATAGGGCGAACAAAATCATATTTGTTTCATTTCCATAACCCTAAGCACGCATATCTTTAACATTCAATTCAGTTCATCAGAAGAAGCAAAACATTTGCAAGAAAAACAAGAGTTACAATTCAATTTCTCGGAATAAACATGCCATTTTCTGAGCACTGGCTCCCCATTTTTCATTTTCCCGATTATAATTTATTTATATTTTAACTAGTTCTGTTTCAACTAAATCAGCCTGCAATTTTTTGTCAATAATGCGCAATAATTAATTTAATCTTTCGCAGGTTTGCGCTTATGGGATTGAACACTAGATAATTGCTTTTTTGATTTCACGTTACCTTAGAATAAAGCATAAATAGAATAAGTAGATCAATCAACAAACAGAGCTGTTATTTACTATTTTGCAGAGTTATTAATTGATTAATTGTTTCTACTGATCACATTGCAAAATAAATATGCTTTTTAAGTGTGTCTCCGTGTGTCCCTTTTTAAGTTAGATTGTTTATTATAATTTATAAAGTATTCTAGATTTTATATAAATAATAAAAATATAAATAATATATTATAAACTTAATTTCCAAAACTCGTTTTGGCGCCCCCTAAGGCATGCGCCCGCATTTTTTGCACGAATTGCATGCAAGGTAGGACCGGTCCTGTATGTATTGATAAAGTCTATAGCATAACAAATTTATTTACCTTTAGTGAACCACTTTTAGTCACTTTTATTTTTTCTTCTCTCCATTCCTTTGCCGTAATTGTATATGGTATTTTCTTTTCAATCTCTTTATCACCATCGATGAATATTTCAAGAATGATATCTCCATATCCTTGTACGCCGAGTTTTTCAATATAAAATCCTACTACAACGTAAGAATATTCATCAGCTACATAGGATTCCGTTTCTCCACAGACATCTGCCCAGCTGCCCGAAGGTTTAGCAATATAATGGCTAGTTTTTTCATTTCGTGGTTCAAAATCGGTTTCGTCTTTGAAAGCTAGAACTGCCCAAGGAGGCATCCAATTCACTGAACCAGTACACTGTTCTAAATGCAACTGACCATCATTGAAATTTATGTCTCCACATTGTACAGCTGAAGTTATTTCAACAAGAGCACTTGCTAATAAAATAATTATGGTGAGTAAAAATCGCATAGTTTAATTTGACATTTACTTTTTAAATAATTGCCTGATTGGTTGCCAGATTATTACTAATTACAGTAATAAATAGACAGATTTTAAGATTTAATAATTTTTTATCAGTCAGATAAGCGTCAAAATCGATTGTCAATGTTCATTTAGCGACACGAGCGGCGATTTTAATGAAGAGATCAATATCGAGAATATGCGCAATAGTTTGTGATAAAATTTAATTTAATTATTTTTTATTCATTGTAAATGAATTACATAGTTGTAAGTGGCCTTTTGCTTTAATGCAAGCTGCAATTTTTTCGTGTACGTTTTTGCGCGCACGGATTAACCGATTTGAATGATTCAAGTAACATTCGCTTCCTATTGATAGGGAGATGTGCTGATTAGCTTTTGACAAAGACAGGTCTGGCCGTTAAGGAGATACGGAGCAAAGAGTGCAGATTGAGTTTTTGAAAGAACGGAGCATTCGATTTGAATGATTCAAAAAACATTCTGCTCATTTCTGCTCATCCAGGACATGTCATCGAGTCAAAACTAGTGGTGCATGGCATCGTGCCTTGAGGCAAATTACTGGAACTTCCCGGAACACAATTAAATATTCGAGCAAAAAAATAATAATCAATAAATATTAAAAAATGATTAATAACAATATATTCTCGAAGAGATAATTATAATTACTATATATTTGTTCGTTCATATTATATGCAGTGATAATCTTATCTCTCAAAACATTTAAAAATGTTTAAATTAAGAAGAGATACCGAATGAGTCCGTCTGAGAAAATATTTCTTACGATTATAATAACGCATATGAAATATATACATTTTTAAACTGAATTGTAAATTTAAAATTTATATTTAAAGTATAAAACTTTGTATATTTTTGAACATTTTGAAAAAAAAAATTCGGAAAAGTTTTGAAATTTGTTTGAACCGTATAAGAGAACTTTAAAATTTAAAAATCTTGTTACGGAATCCAAAAACATTGTAACAAAATTAATACTAATATTTGAAATATCTATAAAATATCTGATAATTTAATGTGCATACGTCTAATGATCAGTTTAGACCGCCAAATATGTTTTTTTATCTCCAAAACCGCTAGACCTTTCTTCCCAAAAATTCATTTGTATTTTTTTTTTAATTTTGAAATTGCTTTTTGAATCATTCGAATTGGGCGCCGCCTTACATCAAAAACTGAATTACGATTTTTGACACTTTCTGCCCTTTTTCTTCGAAACCGCCAGACTTGCCTTTGCCAAAAACTAATCAGCACTCCTTCCCATCAATAGAAATTGAATGTTTTTTTCATCATTCAAATTGGTTGATGCACCCAAAATCGTGACAAAAATTGTATCCAAACATACATACATACATACATTTTTCTAAGGTGTGCTAAAATGTTCAGATACTCTTTAAACGTATCTTTACGTTTGCAACGATTTTTTTTCGAATTTTTGCGAATATTATAACTTACCCTACGGGAAGTTAAAAATATTTTAAAATCGTTTAAGATTTTATTAAACAACGTCTATGGCTACATACTCCTGTTACATAAAACCCCTGGCTCCCCTATATTTTAATTTATATCAAGTATTAGTATTTCTCGCTTAGTATTTGTATTTTCAAATCTTATCACATAGTTGATACCATACTGAATGTCCTTCCGCGATTTATCTAAAACGGATATCTAAAAACTATTAAACTGAAAAACTCGGAATAAATATGAAGTTTTTTTTGATATTCATAATAAATATTTTAATTTTTGAAGCAATTTTAGCAATAGATTGCCCAAACATAAACTTCAACGATGGAAATCTGCATTTGAAAAAATGTACGACTCCACTTTCTCGTTTTCCGCCTTGGGCAGTTTTAAAATTCTACCAAGTGGATGGATTTCGATCTAGAGACAACAAAACCACAAATTATATTGGAAGACCAACTGGAAATGGGACTGATGTGTGTGTAGAAACTGATTTTTATGAAGTTGATGAATTTTCGTACGTTGTTTTGGGATATTATCTTGATCAGTTGAAGAAATCTGCTCATGGACAGCTAGTACTTCAGTTAAATCTGGATGGAAATCGGATTGACGAGAAATATATAAGACATAACAATGCTGCTAAAAATTGGCGAAGTTTGGAAGTGGAAATAACAAAGAAAGGAATTTTATTGGTGAGTAGGATTATTATGATTATTATAATTTCATGCATGATACAAATATACATTACATTCAGCAAATTGCTGGAACTTACCCGTAATAACATTTTTTTTAAACAAGATTCATATTTTTAGAACTTTGCAAAAAAATAGATTTTTGAGAATTATAATTTTTTTGATAAAAATTAACATTATTGAAAAAAAAAATTTTATACTTTGAAATATTTTGGAAATTTTGAACTTTTTTTTAAAACAATCGTGATACGTCAGATGTGTAGAAATGAAATACCGAAGCGCTTGCATATATCTTATGATCATTTTTGTCCGCCAAATGGTGCTTTTTTATTTTTTTATCAGATCTTCGAAACCGCTAGACCTGCCTTTCCCAAATTTTACCAGTTCTTTAGTTCGTCATTCAATACATAATAAAATGTTTTTTAATTTGTTTCATTCAAATAGGACGCTCCGTTCTCTCAAAAACTGAATTACCATTATTGGCTCTTTTTGCCTCGTATTTTTGGAACAGCTTAACCTGCTTTTGCCAAAAACTAATCAGTACGTCTCCTCATCAATACGAATAGAATGCTTTTAACTTCCCGTAGGGTAAGTTGTTGTAACCGTCCAAAAATCAAAATTGAAAATTTTTACATTTCTTTACGTTTTGAAGGTTTCTGAACATTTTGGCATACATCAGAAAAAATGGATGTGTGTGTGTGTGAATATAATTTTTCGTCCACGTTTTTGGGCGCACGGATCAACCGATTTGAATGGTTCAAAAAACATTTGATTTCTATTGATATGGAGATGTGCTGATTAGTTTTTGGCAAAGGCAGGTCCTGCGGTTTCAGAGATACAGAGCTAAATTTGCAAAAATTGGTAGTTTTTGAGAGAACTAAGTGTTCAATTTGAATGATTCAAAGAACTTTCTGCTTGTTTTAACAAAATAATTGCTTTTGGAGAAAAAAAATTTTGTTATAATTTTTTTTTCAATTTTTTTTCAAGAAGGTTTTTTTTGTTGTATATCGAAAATAACTCAGATTCTTATTGTAGTTCTGACTTAAGTTCTTTAAAATAAAATAAACTTTAAAATATTTTTAACTTTGCAATTACGTTTATATAATTCTTATAAATATTAGATAATCTTGCAGTATTTATTTATAATAATCTATATGAAAACATTTAATATTCCTCAACCATTTCGTTACGGTACGGTAAGTTCCAGCAATTTGCCTTATGGCACGATGCCATACACACCACTAGTTAAATTATTCAAATCGGTTATTTCGTGTTTCCAAAATCGTCTATGAAAATTTGTATCCGCACACACACACACACACACACATACATCCATCTATGCCAAAATGTTCAGAAACATCTGAAACGTAAAGATATATAAAAAATTTCATGTTCGTTTTTTTGCTATTACTATAACTTACCCTACGGAAAATTAATAACAACACATCTTATTAAACAATTAAATAATGTATACTTAAAAATTATATTCTATCATTAAAAACTAAACATATATTTCTTAAAACCAAAAAATTTAACAGCAAAAAATTAATATCAGTAATATTTTGAAAATGTAGTCGTTCATCTCGTGATAGCAAAGTTGTCCGATTTAAGGCTACGGCTGTTTGCACCTTTTGTTCTTTATATTAAAATAATATTGTTAAAACACCATACTTCACTTATTTTTGAGATAAACGTGGTGGACCTTTTTACCCGCGGACCTTTAAGCGCCGCTCTATCCTATTTGTTGCGTACGTAGAAAAAAAACATATGGTAAAATCCAATCCATGACATTTTTGGGTCTTTAGACTTATATAAGTAGTCATTGCAAATTGAATTCGAATATTGCGAATGAAATATTTGGAATGTAGAATAACTTCGTTCCCACTTTTCTTTAATATCGTCTTCTGAGTAGTAACCTTGTATATTTAAAAAAATACATGGATATCCACAAAAATTTCCGAAGCATTAAGACTCTTTAACTGGTGAAAAGTACGAATAAACTCTTTTGATATGTTAATCAAAATATGTTTTTTGCGACAAATTAATCCACACAGAGTGAAAAACGTTTACAAAAAATGAATTGTTATCGAGCAAGATGTAAAATGATTCATCTACTAATTTGCTTGTTGAGTGGTTTGTGAGAAATATAGATTCTTAGTAAAAAATAATATGAGTGGCTGTGTCTGCCCTTTATTTCTGTCTATATATTAATTAACCTCATATTCTAGGTACGTTTATTGGTCGAAGCAAATAAAGATGTCAGGATTGGCCTGGATTACTTTAAAATATTGAACTCCAACATAGATTCTAAAGAATGTAATCCGCATTACAAAGAGAAAACTTCTGTAGTATCCAATCACGAGCCACTAACGATATCGAGGTATTCAAAAGCTGCCAAAGAAGAAATAACACCAGAAGGTCCAACCACTGATATAACGTTAAATTCTACAACAGAGCCTACAACTCTGAAGCCTAACCATACACGTCCTCATATAAAAGTAGATGTAAATGTCGATGTTTCGAATTTGGAAGATAAAGCTGATGTTGATATTGATATTAATGTTAATGTGCACTAAATAATCATATAAGACCTTTTTAATCAATTTCACAACTATATCAGCTTCAACCAGTAACTAGCTCTGCAAATATTATAGATACTAGATCACACTCAAATAACTAGTTTAATACTGTCTTGAATATTACTTTAACTCTCTACTATGACAAAATTAATAAACAATGAAATAGATAAATTAAATAATGAAAGTTGGTTATTTTATTTGCGTTGCTATTAAAAATGTAACTAGTGGGGCGCATGGCATCGTGCCTTAATGCAAATTCCTGGAACTTCCCGTGCCGTAATTAAACATTCGAGGAATGAAAATAATCAATAGTTGTTTTGAATAATTTCAATTAGATTATTTATTACATACTGTAAACTTATAAGAGCTTTTTAAATTGGGCGACGACCGTAGTTTATGAACTACTTATGCCCATGTAGAAATTAATATGGTCTGAATCTACAAGCAATATAAAATCTACATTGGTCAAATTTGAAACCAATATCGGCTGGTCATAAAAATTGAACATTTTTTATATTGAGGCCATATAGGTAAACCAACATTGGTCTATATTGGTCTATATTTGGAAATTTGGAACCAATGTTGCCTACAAATTGTTGAATGTTGGTAAGGTAATATACAATTAGACAGAGAGCTGGTGAACATTTTGAATTATTAATTATTGAATTATTAAATTATTCTGAAACTTATAACTGATGTTGAAATATTACACAAATATTTGAAGATTTGAAGTTGAAATAATATAACACATAAATCAATGTCATTTATTTAACAATAAAACACCTGAAATTTATTTATTTATTTATTTATTTATTTATTTCTGAAATGAACATATACGTAAATTTATTAAGAATGTTTTTGTGGAAATTCATTTATTAAATATAAACAATGATACAAATATATAACTGCATTAAAAATATGATTATTTATAAAACACAAAAGTGTCATAAATATTGATTATTTTTTTAATAGATATTTATTAATACATATCAAGTAAACTTTTTTTATAACAATAACAAAAGCAAATAAACTTTCCTATTTATAACATCATCACTCGATAAAACATTTCACAGCATCTGAACATATTTTATTTGTTGTTAATATATTTATTATCCATTATGAAATATTTATTTCATCGTCTAGAACAGTCATTGGAAAACCTACCTTACATTTGATATATATCAAGTAAATTATAATCGAATAATTATTCGATTATAATTTACGTGATATATATCAAATGTAAGGTAGGTAAAGTAATAAAAGTAATAAATGCAAATTAACTTAACTATTTATAACATCATCACTCGATAAAACATTTCACAGCATCTGAACATATTTTTTTGTTGTTAATATATTTATTATCCATTATGAAATATTTATTTCATCGTCTAGAACAGTCATTGGAAAACCTACCTTACATTTGATATATATCAAGTAAATTATAATCGAATAATTATTCTATTATAATTTACGTGATATATATCAAATGTAAGGTAGGTAAAGTAATAAAAGTAATAAATGCAAATTAACTTAACTATTTATAACATCATCACTCGATAAACATTTCACAGCATCTGAACATATTTTATTTGTTGTTAATATATTTATTATCCATTATGAAATATTTATTTCATCGTCTAGAACAGTCATTGGAAAACCTACCTTACATTGATATATATCAAGTAAATTATAATCGAATAATTATTCGACTATAATTTACGTGATATATATCAAATGTAAGGTAGGTAAAGTAATAAAAGTAATAAATGCAAATTAACTTAACTATTTATAACATCATCACTCGATAAAACATTTCACAGCATCTGAACATATTTTATTTGTTGTTAATATATTTATTATCCATTATGAAATATTTATTTCATCGTCTAGAACAGTCATTGGAAAACCTACCTTACATTTGATATATATCAAGTAAATTATAATCGAATAATTATTCGATTATAATTTACGTGATATATATCAAATGTAAGGTAGGTAAAGTAATGAAAGTAATAAATGCAAATTAACTTAACTATTTATAACATCATCACTCGATAAAACATTTCACAGCATCTGAACATATTTTATTTGTTGTTAATATATTTATTATCCATTATGAAATATTTATTTCATCGTCTAGAACAGTCATTGGAAAACCTACCTTACATTTGATATATATCAAGTAAATTATAATCGAATAATTATTCTATTATAATTTACGTGATATATATCAAATGTAAGGTAGGTAAAGTAATAAAAGTAATAAATGCAAATTAACTTAACTATTTATAACATCATCACTCGATAAAACATTTCACAGCATCTGAACATATTTTATTTGTTGTTAATATATTTATTATCCATTATGAAATATTTTTTCATCGTCTAGAACAGTCATTGGAAAACCTACCTTACATTTGATATATATCAAGTAAATTATAATCGAATAATTATTCTATTATAATTACGTGATATATATCAAATGTAAGGTAGGTAAAGTAATAAAAGTAATAAATGCAAATTAACTTAACTATTTATAACATCATCACTCGATAAAACATTTCACAGCATCTGAACATATTTTATTTGTTGTTAATATATTTATTATCCATTATGAAATATTTATTTCATCGTCTAGAACAGTCATTGGAAAACCTACCTTACATTTGATATATATCAAGTAAATTATAATCGAATAATTATTCGATTATAATTTACGTGATATATATCAAATGTAAGGTAGGTAAAGTAATAAAAGTAATAAATGCAAATTAACTTAACTATTTATAACATCATCACTCGATAAAACATTTCACAGCATCTGAACATATTTTATTTGTTGTTAATATATTTATTATCCATTATGAAATATTTATTTCATCGTCTAGAACAGTGACTGGGAAACTTTTTCAATCATAACCCCAAAATATTTTTGTCCAAGTTTGTATTGTCATCTGAAACCTCGTATTCCTTGTTAATAAATTTATAATATATCATTATATATTATCAATATGAATAATTTATGAAAGCGTTAAAATGAGATTGTAAAATGCACTCGACTCTACTTTTACCTTAAAAAATAATGACTTCATATCATAGTCTAAAATCTTGCTATGCAATGTACAGATTTATTGACATTCCACATTGCATTTATTATAATCAAACATTATGACTATTCTGTCAAAATTTATATCTTTCCTTTCTATAACTTATTTAGTTACAAACTTTTGATGAAAAACTTTTCGATAACATTTTACTACTAAGCAAGCCAGTTTCTCTATTTTCTGCGCTTACAACAATATTACCTGAAAATAAATAAGAATATGTTTTAAATGCAGAGACATATAATTATATTATAACAAGTATTGTCTTACCTTTTATAAATATGAAAGTGCAGTATGTCTTCACTCAAAAAGATTAGGTTATGTTATATTTTATTATGTTATATTTTATTATATTTCACGTAATATGTACAACTGATTTCTCAATGTGTTTAAACTCCTGATCAATATAAAAATCCTTAGTGAGAAAAATAAATTATCTTGCATTTCTTACCATTTTTATTGAAAACTTGCAAATTTTGACATTTCGAATAGCTAGTTTCCGATTATTATTAGAGATACTAATAATAATGTAGTTAGCAGTAATTATTCTAAAAATAAATAGCTATTAGTTACAATGCATAAACGCATAATTAAGTATTATACTCACCAATAGTAAAAAGAATTCGTCTATTAAAACTAAGGTTATGTTAGATATACATAACTTATTACTTAATCTATCCATCCCAAATCAAATCAGATGACGTAAAATTAAGTTGAACTTTCAAACCTTTGTATTTAATCCAAAGTAACAACAAAGAAATGAAATATTGTATATTTTTCAGAGACAATGCTTACTAAACAATTGTTTACCAAACTTGTTTGTGGTATATATTTCGCACCAATGCACATTACACACATTAGAAAACAATGTACACTATAACACTATTACACATTACACATAACTGAAAATATTATTCGATTATTTCCAGCAAAACTAGTATCTTAAAACATACTATAATTAACAATTTTGCATTAAAGGCTAAGGACGCCGTGACGCGCGTCGCTTCTTGTAGGCATACGTCATGCATAGAAGGCATAGAAAGATCTAGAATTTTATACCTGCGCTTTAAGATAGTGAGTTACTACAACAAGATTGTATATCTTGGTGGTGTAATGGCTAGCGTCGCAGCCTTTTGATTTTGATTTTGGGGTTCAAATCCCAGTCCATTATTATTATTTTTTATTTTATAATTGTATGAGTAAATAAAATTAAAGTTTTCAATTAGTTTTATATATATCGGACAGTATTTAAAATAAATTACCCTGTAACATTTATAACTTTTTTATAATGAAAGGAAAACTGAATTTTTATACTATTCTCAACATTTGAGGTTTTCATAAAGAAACCGTATAAAGTATTATACATCATTAGAATCGTCTCAAATTCTTAGTTTTTCTTCCACATATCACAACTTAGTATTTCAAACGGTTTGGCCTATGGGCGAGTTGCAGTGCTAAAATTCAAGAAAAATTGAAAATCTGAAAATAATATACGAACACACATATTGAATTATATATCATTTATTCGTAATTTTATTCCGCATCTTTCGTCCGAATAAACTTTTTACGTATCTTTTACCTTTAATTTGTAAGGGTGAATAATTACATGGTTAAATATTTACAGCCATATATATCTGGCGTATGTTGTTTTCGTTCTGTTGAGTCGATAGCTAAGCGCTAGCGTTGCCGACTCTTAACGTCGTAGTCTCGGGTTCGATCCCAGGTAAGATTTTTGTTTTCATTTTAAATATAATAACAATAATCATGATTGAGGAATTTGAGGAAACAATATTTATTATTAATTAACATGCAAACAATATTAATAGTCAATTATAAAAAATGTTGCATCAATATTCATTTTTATTTTGAGGACAATATTTATTAGCTTATGATAAAAAATTGCATAAATATTATTTTCAATTTGATGACAATATTTTGTACCCGATGATAAAAAATGTTGCATCAATAATTTCATTTCAATTTGTGGACAATATTTATCAGTCGATGATAAAAAATGTTGCATCAATATTTTTATTTCATTTGTGAACTATATTTATCAGCCGATGATAAAAAATATTGCATCAATATTTTATATTTCACTTTGGGAACAATATTTTTAGCCGATGATAAAAAAA